TATAGTGCATACACGAAGGAACACCTACTTAACCAATGCCAATATTTGTGATGATTAAATTACGATGTGGTTAAGAACCAATAAGCAGTCTATTTTTTGCTGATACACATTTGTTATTTTTCTGTTAATTGTATATGAATAAGAAAAGTTATTGAAAATAAACAGTTATCAGATAGAAATATTTTTATATGTATTGAAATAAGATAGAAAGAATTTTGGGAACGTCAATTTTTAATTCTGTTCCCATTCCCATGTTCCCATTCCCTAAGTCTAAATGGGAATTCCCATTCCCATGTTCCCATTCCCTAAGTCTAAACGGGAATTCCCATTCCCATGGGAATGGGAATGGGAATGGGAAAATTAGGGAAAAAAGTCGTTCCCGCAGGACACTACTGTGGACCTAATATAGGAAGGTAAATAGGCACGCGCATACTGATACTCGACATCGATGCCCACAAACTCTCATCCTGTACGAGTGATGAGATATAACGGAAATATTATTGGCTATTCCTTGTAGGCAAGCAGAATGTAAAAAGAATTAACTATCTTATGATAAGGATAAAATATGAGTTTTTTTTGCAACTGATCAATAAATATTCGGGAACTCTCAAATGCACTAATACAATTCTACTAATACAAGAAATAGATATCAGTTACTTCCACTATTTTTATGATCTGAATTAGTCAAGTATTGTGTATTTGATGCTTTCAATTATAATAATGTTTCACATCATTCAGTTCTTGTCTTTATATAGTTGTACATCACAACAATCAATATGTTGTGCTATTTCAAACTTTATCTTTGTTGCTATTCGTCGAAGATTCTTTGCTTTATAGTTTAGTGATCCGAAATATATACACCATATTGATATAAGAACAAGAATTGTTACCTTTGCTTTTGAAACAGTACTGAGCTATTCTAATAGAAAAGTTACGGATACGCAATGCCATATTAAAAATGTTGTATATCAATATCAACGGAGAACTAGTAAAAAAATCCTTAAAAAAATTAAAAAAAGTTGTAGTTTTCCAATATAATCTGAAGAATTATCAGCAACCGATCAACGGATAAAAGTTTTTTCACTTCTGTTAATTCTTCAAAAAACGGGATGTATCAGAGAGTAATTCATGAGTAGTGACCCTTTCCAGTAAACCGTTATTATCTACGAAAAAACGTTATATATATTTCATTGATCTAAATATATGATTGTGTAGTCAAACAAAGGGCTTTCAACAGAAAATATACTCGTAAATGTATGAATACAGTACATTGGTTTGATTGTTTTATTAATCTTGTGTGGGTATTTTAATCTTATACTTTTTGAGAAAAATTTTTAAAAAATTTTTTCCAATAGAAGATCTAAAGAGCTTATAAATTTGTGACGTATATGAATACTGTTACAAAGTTTCAATCACACTCAACAAAACAATCAATTATTCTATTGAAATAATAGGTCGAATGGAAAATCTTTGCGAGCAGAAAACGTACAAATATAAAAGTTTGTAAAATTTCTTAGTAAATATAAGATGAAATAGTCACTCAAGATTAATAAAAACGGCAATACTAATACATTATATTTAGATGCTTACACGTATTTTCACTTGAAATCCCTGATGTATGACTTCAAAATTATATGCTTCGATCAATCAAAAGTATATAGCTTTATCACAGATACCAATCCATAATGAGTTGGGTTACTGCCTGTGGATAAATCTTTGGGATAAAAATAGAGAACAAAAAAGATAAATTTATTACTTCATATCTTTTAGGGACATAAAACATTTTGGATTCTTAGCAATGAGAAAAGAATGTTCTTTTCGTGCTGTATAACCTGTAACGGACAGGCTGCTTTCAATAGCGACAAAATTCGCTAGAACGAAACCGTTCTGTTGAGGGTGTGAATGTTAATGTGGCGTATGTGTCAGCGTGTGCTTATCTATTTTCCTTTTATAGGCCCATACTCGAAACCACCAGGTATCCCTATCGAATGGGCCTTGAGGACCAGGAGTACCATTATAGTATCGACCATGACGATCAGAAGTATTCCCATAGGAAAGTCCTGTAGAACCTAGGAGGTCCACTATATAATAGCCGATAATGACCTTTCGATGTGCCTATAGTAAAACCTTGGAGACCAGAAGCACCCCTATACAATAACCCTTGGAGTTCGGAATTACCCTTATAGAAGAGCCTTTCGAGACCTATGAGTACTCCTATAGAATAATTCTTGATAACCTTTGGGTATCTTCACAGTATGGTCTTGGTGAGAAAAAACTGTCCTTCAAGATGATCTTTTTTGAAAAGAGCCAGTTAAAAGCACATCTTCCATCAAAAGACCTATTCGATCAGATAAGCTGATATGAGTAGAAGGAGTCAATACGCTCAGCTCCTTGCTAGAATTTTAGTTCTTTTATTTTAATCCTTTAACGTCGAATTTTGAATGATCAAGGTTCTATTGAAAGTGAAAATTAGCGATGGACTTCTTCGAACCTTCCTGTTACAGAAACAGAGAAACACTCTAATTGAACTCGAATAGTCAGACATTAATTGCGTCCATGTAGTGCCATCATTCTTCCCATCAAGGTCATTGATCTTTGTTTCTCATAGAGGTGCAAACGAAAACAAAAAAGTGGGATACATTTGTCCCATCGCTCGTTAAAGGGTTAATGTTCTTCTTCCTCTTTTTTAAAAACAAACAAAGGAATGAATCAAAAACAAAGAAAACAGTAAAGAATATGATTCTCTCTCTTTCTCTTATTCTACTCTTTATTTTTCTTTATTCATGAAGAAAACACCATTGACAAAGAAGCAGTGGCAGAGCTAGAATTCTTGAAGAAGGGAGGGGACGATTATAGGCAAAAAGTACAATTCCAGATGTGTCCCAGGTAGTGCGAACTTGTTTTTTCGGTCGTTTTTGCTGAGAAAAATCGAAAGAATTTTCTCGAGGGGGGTGCGTCGAGGCGATTGCATCCCGTAAATCCGCCATTGTAAAGAAGAATAAGAATGTTGTTGATGTACAGCGATAAGATTATACAAGAATAGCCAAAACCGCCCTAGGTCAGATCAAAGTCTTCTGCCATAACAATCCCTCAAAATATTGTTCCCATGTCTTCTGGAAGAGGAACTGAAGCTAAACTGGCACATCTCTAGTATTATTTAGCTCTTCGAAATCTCTACACAACTGATTATTAATAGTACGAAACCATCATTCTTGACAGCGCATAATACTTACTGCACATAAATTGTCTCTAGCTTCACATTTGTAGATGTACATTACGACCGTTAGCGACCTCTTATAAGACTATTTCAAGTTGGTTAAATATTTTAATCAACTCTAGTATTTGATATAGAATCTCAATTGTGATATTAAATAGTTCAATCAAATTCAAAACAAAAAAAAACAAAAAGCTTAAAATGTGAAAAATAAGTATTTTTGATGAAAAATGTTCTTGAAACTTCATATTTGTTTGACAACTTTCTGAAGCACCCCGTGTTTTTTCCCTTTGATTTATACATCAAAAGATGCAGTTTTTGACGGGCTTTCAGAATATGATCTTTTTTTCTGGAACGCTTGAAAAACAGTATCGTTTTGGTCTAAAATATCAAGAAGAACTGCCTGTAACTTTTGCTATGAATTTTTGTATTTTCATTTTTTTCCCAGATGAAAGTGGTGATTTAAAAGGCTCTTATATAGCATTTTGTAGAGCAGATTCGGCGCTATAGAATGATATATAATACTTATAAATTTAGCCGAGTTTTAACAAAAATATAAAGTGCACAAAAAATCCAAAAAAAATCAGCAAAGTTTAACAAGTTCCATGAGGGTGGTTAACTTGTGACCCTTATTTCTTGACAACTGCATTGACACTTGACCCTAATATTTTGGCTTTTGCAAATACACATTATGATCTTTGAAACTAAATATCAAAGATCAAAATTTAAATTTTAGCTCCGAACGGCTTGGTCGACAATCTGACGAAGCCTCTCTTAAATTAAGTACTGCTTCAAAAACATAGAAAACTCTTTAAGTATCCTCTACGTTTGATTTGGAGGATGGTTTGAATGATCATGCCGTGCGATTATATCTAGGCTCTGTCTACCTATTATTGAGATCTAAAACTTTTAAATTGTTTATATATTTTTCCAAGTGCCACCTCATACAAAAGCATACTAGTGAACACCTAAACAATTTATTATACTTGAGAACAAGTTACAGAAGTGAAACTAGTGCATTATTTTACTAACATAATTCATTTTTATTGAAAATTAATGTACAAATAATGATAAATTATATAAAAAAAATAAACTAAAAGTTGAACATGCATTGTCATGATGTAAAAAGCAATCATGTATACATCTACCATTATGGCACTATTTATCAATACTCAATTTTATTTCATCGTCATCAATAACAAGCAAAGATATACATAGCAAAATCGATAGGATTTTAGAAGCAGGAATAGACCGTATAAATCCTGCATCACTTGTCATTTTGTGACACTTGTAATAATCTCTTTTTCCTACTGCTGTTTATAGAAGATAAAAGTTTGAAAGTCGTACAGTGCCTGTAAGAATGTCTACTTCATGTCAATTTTAACTATGTATTGTAAAAAAAATAATTGTATAGGAAGTTCTAAAAACATTATTACTATATATTATTTATAGGCATAATTCATGTATAGAGAATCACATATTTCGAAAATATGAACTATATATTAACCATACGTCAATCTATGATGAATAATTCTATGAAATACTATCAAAAATGAATATTTCTTTGACATAGTATTGTACATCTGTCATTGAATACTTTTTGTTTTTTACATATATTCACCAACATTATGATTCACTAGTTTTACTCTTCTGTTATTAAAATCATAATGAATAAAAACTGGTTAGTTTCCAAAAAGAAGAAAGACGTTTAAAAAAGAAGATTCTCTTCATAATAGAAATTCGATAGTGTAAAACATAAGAAAATAGTTTTGCTAGTTTTCTTATATCACATCGCTTGATATTGTTCTCGAATATATTGTTCACAAATAAATCCACATACGGCACTAATGAATAATAATATTGTAAGAATTGTATCGATTGCTAGAAGAGCAGAATATATTTTGAGAAGATAAAGATAAATTGGTTCAGCACAACCACGTAGATAGATTTTATCTTTAGTAATGAGAGCATTTTCACCACACTTTGGAACTATTGTACGGCAACATGTATCAGGAGTATTTGTTCCATTAGATAGTTGTGTTTTCCAATCTAATGCTTCTTTGACACCACAACATTGAAATGATTGTTGAATTTCTCCAAAAGATACTTTCGAACTTACAACTGAATTCGAATTTGAATAGTTACGAAAAAGATCGGCAATCTTTTTATAAGAATCATCTTTAACATTGCGGACACTCGTTGTAAGTATAATAAGATTTATTACAGCAAGGACGAAAACAATAAGAATTAAAACAGAAAAGAGTATTGTTGATGCTGAAAGTTTACGATTAGCAACATAAAAAAGACATATTGCAAATAACATAGCTAATATACCAATAACAATGCTATAAATTGATAATGAATATATTTCATTCCATGAACTGCGAAGAAAATTTGTATCTCGAGCATAAATGAATCCAGCGATTAAAAGAATAACACCAACAATAGCTGTTAAAGCATTTGCTACACAGCAAGTTAACGAGTATGTGTTAAACATCTTTAATGAGACAATAAAAATACGTTAGTGCTCTTGAATGTGTGTAGGTTTTTATTTATTATAATAGACGAGCAAGCTGTAACAAATAAAAATCGAATGCAACATGCTTATCGACTAGAAATAACGCCAATCAAGCGTTAATTTTTTTTTCTGTCGTTTTTTTTCTCTGAGTTTTATACACGTTATTTTTACAACTAATTGATGACGATCGTCACTCAATTAGTCACCATGTTGATGAACGATTTGGAACTGTCCAGTTATCATGAACATATATTGATTCGAGATAAAGATACTGGAGAATAACATTGATTTCAATATAGTTTATTATCTTTGATATTTATCTCTGCAGTTATACAGTAGATGTCCCTAATAACAACACTAAAAATTTGTCTTATCTTGTTTGGCTCGGTGCACCTCTATTTTACACTCGATTGAAAATATTTTTACATATACATAATCTTTGAAGTGTCCTCTTTTAAATGATGTAACAACCACTTTTCACTGAAATGTAGTAGTCCAGAAACCAGCGGTCTACGATAACGGCCTTCTTCTGTTGTTATTAGGGTTCATTTCCCTAATAACAACAATCAGCAAATTTTTGTCCCTAATAACAACACTCTGAGAAAATTAAGCGAAAAAGAGACTTTTCTAATAAAAACTATTTTTTCATGCGTTTTGTTCGGAAAACAGTTAAATGTCTCGCTGGCATTTTTGTAGAGCGGGTCGAACTCTATCTAAGTCCAAAAGTTCACGAGAAACCAACTGTGTCCTAATGAAATATTTAATTTGAAAAAAAATCATCTGAAAGGATTTCAAAAAACGTCCCTAATAACAACACTCTCAACAAAATTGACGCATGAGTGTGCATAAAACAACAGTTATTTTCTTTTTTAATAATCCGATGAACTTTGATTGTTTTCCATAACTTTATTCTATATTTCATGAAAAGTCGTTTTTTTGTGCCTGGGGTCCCCTCAGGAATTCAAAAAAAAATTTTTGTCTTTATTTCAACTGTCACATTTAAAAATCGATAGAACTAAGTGTCCTAATTCTAAATATCGTATTACTTTTGAAAATTTGTCGAATAATAAGAAAGATTTTGAGGATAAAAGATACATAGGGGTATCCAAAAGTAGTGACAACGACATTTTATTACCACATATTAATGTTGAGAAAAATTTCTTTTTACACAGGATGATAGAGCGAAAAAAGCTCTTTCTTTCTATGCTATTTGATCATACCTCAGGTGACATCATAATAAAAAAATCCTAATAAGACTAGTTTGCCTAACATGTGTCACGGTTACAGAAGTTCATATTGTCTTCAATAGGCATTCTCTTCTTGATCTTTTCTTTGTTTTTCTTCTTTCCTTTATTCTTTCCTCTCACTCTTTTGAGATTTTATCATTTATCATATGTATACAAAGATACATGCGTCTTTTTGTGCACCTGTCGTGTGCTACTCTATTCTATAGAAAGTGGAAGAAGTAAAGTTAAATTGAATCTTACTACCCTTCATTTTTGTTTTCAATAAACAAAGAAAATTTTCGCTCCTACATTAAAGTGCGTACAGCGCTTAATATTGATGTAACAACTATTCACGACGAGCTATGTACTGTTTTCGGTGATGAAGCTCCTTCTTATCGAACAATTACAAGATGGGCTCAATGGTTTCGTGAAGGTCGAGAAGAAATTGAAGATGAAGAACGATCCGGAAGACCTGTAACTGAGTGTACTCTTGAAAATATTGAAAAAATTCGTAGTATTGTTAGTGATGATCCTCATATTACAATAGCAGAATTACAAGAGCATACTGGTCTAAGTTATGGCACCGTTCATAGAATATTATCTGATCATCTGGAACTTAGCACATTCGACCCGATTCAATTTTCGTAAAATTTTTTTCAGATTGTTCATTTTCGTGAACAATCATCTTCTAATAAATGCACTTAATGACCTTCTGGCTATATTCTACTAGTTATTTGTCGTTCTCTTGTTTATACTACTACACAGTGAGTCATTTTTTACTGACCAAATGAATAATCGCTCAAGTCAGTTTTTCGTTCTTTTGTATATTATATGAATCATGTCTGAGAAAAAGAAGGAAATTTCCAGTATTTTCTCCCCTATTCTTTTCTCTATATCGTTTTGCATATAAATACAACCGACTTTTTGGAGCATTTCACATGTCGTTTGAAGAAATCGATACTGAAGATAGTGCTAGCTCACTCAGTGAAGTGAGTTCACTGGATGATGAATTTGATACAATGCACCTTGATTTTGACAGTTCTGAAGAAGTTACTGATTATGACGATGATGATGATATGGATTTACATACTTGGAATGAAATAGAACCAGAATCTGATGCAGAATTCTTGGAAGATCATGGACTTATTGAAGATGTAACTTCTATTTCAGAAGATAACACAATCAATCCTATCGACTGCTATCGGCATTTCATTACGGACGAAATTATTGACCTTATAGTTCGTGAAACTAAACGATACGCGCAGCAATACTTGCAAACCCATGACATCAGTAGAAGATCAATATTTAAACAATGGAAACCAATCAATAATACAGAGATGCTCAAGTTCTTTGGAATAGTCATTGAAATGGGATTAGTACAAATGCCGAAGCTGAAGTATTATTGAAGCTCTAGTCAATTATATGGTTCATAGATCATTCGAAATACTATGTCAAGAGAGAGATTTGAATTACTCCTCAAATTTTGGCATTTTTCGAATAACAATAACAAGAATTCGAACCAAGATAGACTGTTCAAGTTGAAGCCGGCCTTAGATTTACTAAAAGAGAGGTTTTCATCAGTATATATGCCTGATTCAATTATCAGTATTGACGAAAGTATGATACCATGGCGAGGCAGACTTTTATTCAAACAATACATACCTGGAAAAGCGCACAAATACGGCGTAAAGATGTACAAATTAGCGGCGACCAATGGATATGTGTGGAATTATGTAATTTATACTGGTGAGCAAGATTTGACGGCAGGTATTGGGGATGCTCAAACAATAGTAATGAAATTATTAGATGGTCTTGATGGATGTTGTCGAACCGTAGTAACTGACAATTTCTTTACCAGTATTTCTCTTGCGAAATATTTGTTGGAACATTACGAAGTAATCATGTTGGATCAGGAAGTAAAGTTCTTGAATAAAATCTTAGTCGTGGAGAAGTTTATGGACTTCAGAATAAAGATAGAATTAAATTAATCAGGTGAAAAGACAAAAACGATGTCTTGATGGTATCTACAAGACCGTCACATTCAGCAAGTGTAGTAGACAGTGGAAAAACAGATTTTCAAAATGAGCGGATTATGAAGCCCCAAGTTGTATTAGATTACAATGAAGGCAGACAAGGTACTGATTTATCTGATCAACTATCAACATATTACACATGTCTCAGAAAATCAATAAAATGGTACCGCAAAGTGGCATCTAAATTGGTTTTCGGAACGGCACTGGTAAACAACTATTTGATATATAAGGAAAACTACACCGAAAGCAAAGTGACCATTCTGCAGTTTCGTGAAAGTCTTGTCCGGTCTTTACTGCTTGGCACGCCAACCGAGAAGCTAAAACCTGGTCCAAGACAACAATCAGCAAGTCATTCGAAGCGCAAACTCGCTGATCACAAGCTCGAAGGAAAAGAAGGATCTACGCGCAATGTCGGCAGACGGTGCACTGGCTGCTATGCGAAGGGACGAGCCCAACAGTCAAGAGAAGCCAGCCGTGCGGCAGCAAAGAAAGTAAAAACTTTCTGTTCTGACTGTAATAAATTTTTTTGTCTTGAGTGTTTTAATGATAAGCATGATGCTATGGAGTAAAGAACTCAAATAAAGTACTAAAGGCAGCACAATTGACTCCTTATATTTAGCCTTCTACTTAAGAAAAAAGCAAAAGAAAATGCTTTTCTATACAGTTTCTCGTTAGACTATAGCGTAGCCCACCGGTGGGCTACATCGGGTCGAATGTGTTAATGACGAATAATTTATATATTATAAATTAAAGAAAGAATAAATCTTCATCATATTGTTTATTTTATTTTATTTTTTTGACCCTATCCACTAGATTGCTACTGTTTTTTATCTTTGACAATAAACTACAATATTTCTGATGCATCCTAAATAATTAAAGCGAATTATCAGCTGACCAGGATTGCCAAACCTTCTGAAGTCAGGAACTAATTTTCATGATTTTCTCCTGACTTCAGTTTTTTTTCTTACTTGACGATAAAAGCTAGTCATATAAAAAAAAACGGCGTAAAATTCTATATTGTGATCGATTTTTCTCTGACTAAAAGTCGAACAAAAATGATACGATTCTATTTGGATTTTTTGAATTCAATTCGCTTTATTTGATTCCAGCAAATTTGTATCAACTTTTAATCAATAAAAAATGATTCGGATGAGATTTTAATCTAGTTTATAGGTATACCAGCTTATTTAACTAAATACGAATTGATGTTGCAGTGTCAGAAGCGGAAGTATATTAAAAGGCCAATACTATTTTTACCAATATGTGGACGTGAGAAATCAGAAAATCATTTGAAAATTAAACTTTTTAAGGTAAAATTGGGCAAGATCTTGCATAGTTATAGAAATTATAAATGATTAAAAAAAATGAATGACTAACAAATTTTGTTTTTTCTCCATAGGAGAATTTCAAAACGATAAAAGATTCAAAAAGACTAGAAATCTATTTCAGTATTAAATAGGTAAACGTAAATAAGTTCTTTTACATATCAAATATAATCAAAGGAGATTCAGTTCGAGCAATTAACAATTAAAATGAATAGTCGTTACGATTGTCCAAAGTCTTATGGCTATCGTTTAAATAAACGAAGTCGTTTGAAACAGATAAACATTCTCATTATATGAGTAATCATATTTCTATAATTTTAACCCAATAATATGAAAATTCTTTTACCATCTAAGTTGAGTTTATGGGCGAAAAGTGGAATTTTATGGACTTAAAATCATAAATTACACTTGAACTTCAAAGAAAAATTTTCTGATTTTCAAAATTTGAATTTGTCAACCCTGATGATAGTAGAAATTTGTTCCAGCATTTTTTGTAGAGCATTTCACATCGCATCATTTAAAAAAAAACAGATCAAGTTTTTTCAATTTATCTAAATCGAGATATATGCAAACATTTTGGCACACTCGGTAAGAAAACAATTTTCTCTTTTTTGAGATGATAACCAACGGGGGCAGTAGCTTTCGAGATCTTCCATGTTTTATAAAAAGCCATGATCGGGACCAAGCGGACGGAGTAGCTTTGCGAAGATTCCTTTACACACACCCCCCCCCCCCCTCTTTCCCCCTCAGAAGTCAAACACATCTAAAAAAAGTTCTATGTACAAAAAGCAAACTTTTCTAAAATGATCATCTAGACGTCCTTTATGGATGATCCCTAGTTGGTTATCTCGTCATTCTTCAATAGGTCAGCAATTTATAACTAAACGTACAGCTGCACAAATGTTTATTATTCTTAAAGATAAACTTCGTACTAATTTCATTTATATTTAATATATAACAAAAAAAAACAAAGATCTTTATTTAAATAGACATAAAGATTTAGTTCCTTTATGTCCATCAATTGATGGTGGTCAAGCACAATTTCATAATACACTTATGGATATGGGTTATACTATGAAAGATAAAGAATTTGATAAATTATGGGATAAGTTAGTTGAAACATTTTTTCATATATTCAATATTTTTTTTGTTAAATCCAGATTTGATACAGATGGTTTTCATGCAATTGGTTTAGAAAAATTTATAAGACGTTTAACTAATGAAGAATCTTTTAATGAAAATTCATCAAATATAAGAAGTGAAGCACAATATCAATAAAAAGCTATTTTAAAAGTTCAACGTCAAAATTCTTCTTATAGTGATTCTCAATCAATTAGATGATTATCAAATAGATAAATAGTTAAATCATAAATTTCCTCAAGGTTTTTCTCAACTTGAACAATTAGATACTCAACATAATGGAACAGTTAACATTTTTTTTTCTTTTAAATTTATTTATTTAGTTAACACGTCATCAATTTCTTGAAGAATTAAAACGTTTTGGATTAATAATTGAAGGATATATTTTTGATTTTTTATTAAAACGTTGTAATATAGATACAACATTAACAAATGGATTAATTCCATATCATGAAGTTATTTATGCTTTTAAACAACGAACTAAAACATCAAATCAATGAATTCATTCAGAAAATGAATTGTTCGTAGTTGTTTTTTTTTGAAGAAAAAAAGAAATGAATTTCTTTGTATATAGATATTAAGAAGAAAATAATCAAAAATCGTTAGAAAGCCAAATAAATTATATAATATGTATGAATTATGAAAAAATTCAAGATGAATTAAAATGATTAGATAAATTAAATAATGGTTTAATATCAAAAAATGATATGAAATTATTTATTGAAGATTTACTTGAATTTTCATTAAGTCCAGATGAATATTATCATTTATATAAACAATTTCCATGTGATCAATATGGGTTTATTTTATATAAAGATTATTTAAAACAAATTTTCTATTATTTATTAAAGACGTACAATGGTTTAATCGATTTTCACTAATTGAAATTTATTTTATTTGAATCTACACATTTTTCAAATAAAGCTTTTCCTATAGCAAATTTCAATCGTCTTACCATTATAACCAATTCGTTTTATATGTTTTTTTTCCTTCAATTTCATTTCTTTTTCAAAAAACTACATTTGAAATTTTTTTTTTTGTGAAGATAAAATAAAGGTTCTCAAAGAGAAGCGTCAACTGAATAATATTCAAAATTATCTTTGACAAAGCAAACATCTATGAAGAAATAGAACATTATATTCTATCAAAATCGAAGCGAAAAAAAGTTAATGACTCTTTCTGAAATAATCTCTATTAGTCAATTAATAATGATGCAACAAGTGGGCTGCATTCTACTGGCTTTCACTAGCCGAAATTTCGACCAATGAATCGAATCAGGTCAACGATCTCGATCGGCCACAATCTAACGTGGGAAACATACAGAACTGATAAATCGAGACAATATAGACCCTAATGAATTCTAAATATCCTGAAAACGAGTCCGGGTCTATAGCTTATTGTTGATAAGATCGTGCGTTTTTAGGATAGAGTTTTAATAGAATAAGAAATATGTTTTTTAACAAGTATAGTTTATTGTAAATTTGTCAGACCTTTTCCTTGTTTTTATCCTAAATCTCCTTTGTCTATAAGCGATGTACGAAACACGAATTTACCATAGTTGTATTTTAGGATAAGAACAAAGAAGGGTGTGGGGTGTTGTTCTGGCTGTGGGCGTGTGGGTGTAGACAAATTGGAAGAATCACATTCACAGCCACAGCCACACCCACATCTAATGACACATCCTTGATGTTTTGCCAAGGAAATCTTTTTTAAAAATTTTTGTTGGGGACTTGATGTATACTCATCTCTGGAAATTTCACCATATACTCAGTGTTTCACGTTCTTCTCAATGATGCAATTTTTATTGACTCTGCACGAGGTCGAAAATTTCGAACCGGTTGTTATGTTGAATGATTCTCCTTTCTAATTTAATCGTATTCGATAATCAGTAAAAAAAGCCCAGACAAAAGCAGATAAAGCAAGCATAATAATTGCGACATAGGAACATTCTTTATGCCATGATGAAACATGTTCCTCACGAATTGAAGTGCTATTTCGTCGATTACTGGTATTATCATGTGGATGACTATCCGAACAGGTTGATTGACCATCGAGTTTATCAGGTTTTTCCAAACCACAAATCCAAACAAAGGCGGTTTTTAAATAAAAAACAATTCCCACGGAATCGCCTGAAAGAAAAGATTTCCTTGATTGGAACGAAAAAGATTTGAAATCGATACCTGTTTCGAAAAAATGTAAAGATTTCCTTTCAGTTTCAGTAGGAGGTTGATCGATATGATATAAAAATGAATTCTTGAGGGGACGAGGCTGTTCTTCATCATAATATGTGTTTGCTCTATGCATACATCCAGGTCGAGTAGGAATTTCAATTGCTTTTTCTGGATTATCAAGATCAAAAATGGTTAAACCAGATATCTAGACATCACGTTTGCATCCTATCGAGAAAATTAATTATAACTTACATATTTTTCTGGAATAGGCTTTGTCAGAAGACTGACAACGATGGTCACAATCCCAGAGATTATGAAAAGAAGAACTGAAAAATACAGAAATTGCAATCGAACTACTGATGGACGTTTATCCAGATGTTCGAGTTGGCAAGGCATTGCAATATAAGAATATTCCCAAATGAATCGAATTATTCCAATAAATAAGCCACATATCAAACCCCAAAATGCTCCCTGAAATCGAAATTATCAAAAACTATTACTCTAAATAAATTACTTCTTCATTGATTCGTTTCCATAAAATCCCGAGTAAATAACAAGCAGCAACTGGAGGTGCTAAAAACGATGAAACAGCTTGAATATAATCGAATAATCTTGCACCTTGTGCTGCTCGAATAACTGGAATCCAAAGAATCGATATTCCGACAAGAAACATGACGAAAACTCTTCAATACAACTCCATGTCATTATTTCCCAAACAAATCTTTCCTTCATTTACCTGCCAACAATCATCAATTCCCAATCGTGTGCATTTTGACGAAAACGTTGCCAGATATCAATTGTGAAAATAGTCGAACTCGAATTAAAGATCGAAGTTAAGGAGGACATTAAAGCTGCAATCATACAGGCTAGTGTTAAACCACGAATTGCTAAGAAAAGGAAAAGATATTTTTTTTTGTCTTCCGAAAGATAAATTAAAGATTCACCATTGGGCATTAATCGAAGCACAAGAAGTGGATATGCAATGTCACTACAACCGTTTCGACTACGACAAACTTGATAGCACACATCGGGATCAGCACAACCAATTTCATCTATATTAAAGTTAGTTTTTAGATGTAATTAAAGAAATATTCACACCTGGAAAGAGAATTCTTGCAATCATTCCTATTAAAATCATGAACAAACTTCAAATCATTCAAAAGATCAATCACTCACCAGGAAATACTATCAGAAATAACGGCAACAATTTCAATATTCCCGCAACAAGACATCCTGCTCTTGCGTGTGTAAGATTTTTTGCTGCCAATGCTCGTTGTACAATCACCTAGATTAGAACTCAAACAAATATGTCTTCATTATTCTCTCTTTCGATTCACTTGATCGCTACACCAATACCAAATACACATAACTCCGTGTCCAAAAAGTATCCCAAACCATGGTAAATCAGCATCAAATGGACGAATTAATGAGAAATAATATTCATTCGGTACACCACATTCAGTAGTATTATGTAATGTTGTATATGCAAGTGCATACGGGAACAGATTGCGAATTTGTTGCATACCACCAACTCTGACGAAACCTATTTTCATTATTTAAATCCTCTATTTTCATTCATAGAAATGACATACTGATAATCATCAGAATAAAAGCTGATACAACCATAATCACTGTTTGTATAAAATCCGTCCAAATAACTGCTGTTAAACCACCTAGACCAAAACTTTTATTATAACCATAAAATATATTTTCTTTTTTATTTACCACCAACAGTGAAGAATGCAGCGAGAAGAATCAGAGCAATAACTGAGGCATACAAATTCCAATTTAAAGCTTGTTGAAGGAAAATAGCACCGGAATAGAGATCAACAGATATTTTTGTAAAGATGGATAACATTAATGCAAGACATGTTAAATAAACTCGAATACGTTCACCACCGTAACGCATTTTTATATATTGTGGCATCGTGAATACCTCTGCTTTCATATAAACTGGAACAAATAACCAACCAAGTACCATCAACCAATGAACCGCCTATTATATAGAAGATATTCTTCATACAAAAGTATTCTTTTCTTACGCCTATTTCAAAATCGGCAACAGCAATACCACTTGAAGCACCAGATCCACTAAGACCGATGAAATGACCACTGCCGATGTTCGATGCAAATAAGGACGTGCCCACCTAGAAAATTGAATGAAATCGAGAAGAATTGTTTCAACACTTTTTACTAGTATAAAATTCATTGTACGACCAGCAAGAAAATATCCACCTAAATGGAATAATAACAAATCCTTGGTGAATAAAAAATGAATATATCTTTTCTTACCGACACTGCCACGATTCTTGCATGAACTCTAAAGACAATCAAAGAATAAAATGAACTTTCTTTAATCTCCCTTACCCAAATTCCAAAGCCGACAATGAGCAAAAAATAGAGTAATAAAACTAGTATATCTGACCAATGTAGTGCTGTTCCAATGATGGCAACCATGTTTTCGATTTGATTTTTCACTGTGTAAATATTTATCGATTTGTCTTTATTACCCACATTATTCAAAGATCAAACATAATGACATTTTCTTCCTCAAATGCTTTCAAAACATGATAATTTTTATTTAAAAGTTATAGTAAAATATCAAGAAGAACGAACACAAAAGAATAATATTTTTCTTTCATAATATAAATCAATCTTGTTATTTGAAATATAATAAATGTCATTTACAAGCCGTCCAATGAATAGAATTCTGGATACTTTCTTTTCAAGTGGAATGGTTAATTCTTTAATATTTTCATCTGAATCAGGTTTTACTTGGCGATTTTGTTTAATAATCTATCAAATAATTATCAAACAATCAATTTCAATGTTTAACATTGATAATTTCTCTTCTATTTCTTATTGTGAAACACGATCTGAAAGGAGTGTTGAAGTGTTTAGGGGTAGAAATTTGGACCCAC